GTTGCCCGGGCGAGTCTCGAACCCGCGGGCTCAGGCAATCCACTTGCCTCGCCCTCCCAAAGTGCTGGGATTACAGCCTGAGCCACTAAGCCTGGCCTGCCTATTATTGTAGTATAACAGACCTACAGAAGAACGCACATATCATAGGCGTACAGCTTGCTTGAATTTTCACACCTGTAACCAACACTCAGAACAAGAAACAGAATTTTACCAGCTCTATCTGCCCCTGGGAGTCCCACGTTTCAAGTCACGTGACATTCCACAGGAAACCCCTATCTCCACTTCTAACAGTGTAAATGACTTTTTGCACTTCATACAAATGGAATCACATACCATATGCACTCTTGTGTGTCTGGTTTCTTTGGCCCAACATTATAGTTGCAAGATTTGTCTATATTGTGTGTCTAGTTGTAGGTCATTCATTCAGATTGCTCCGTATTTTATTATGTGAGCAGACCATGATGTATCCATTCTTCTGCTGTTTGGCATTTGGATTGCTTCTAGATTTTGGTTATTATGAATAGTGCTGTTCTGCGGCCCGCATGGCTGCCTTGAGGGTCCTGAGAGAGAGCGGCGAGAGATTAAGAAAGACACAGACACAAAGACATAAAGAAAAGCTGGGCCCAGGTGGGACACTTTCCTCTGATGGAGGAGAAGTGGCCCCGAACTAGATCAGCATGTTTATTTTATAATCAAGCACAAAGAAAGTTGGAAGGGATTCAAGGTCTGTAAGGGAGCCATAACGGAATTTTGTTGCTACCTAAGAGTTGTTTCGCGGTTATCTTGGGGCTAAGGTTTTATTTATGCTATGTGCACTGGATAAGTGGGCATCTGAGACACCATTTTGTGTAGCAGGTTGCCTCCCTTGCCTTTGGCTAGGATGCAGAGTTACCAAGTGAGACCTTGCCTTTGCCTGGGGCTTTTACTCAAGGTCAGCTACAGTGACAGTGCTCGTTTGGTCCCCACATCACATCCGCTCCCGACAGTGCTGCAATGATTATCCTTGTCCATATCTTTTAGTGGACATATTTCTGTTGGGTTCTACATCTAGGAGGAGGATTGCTAGGTTATAGGATGTGCATATATTTTGCATTAGTAGATAATAGCTAAAGAGTTTTCTGAAGTGGTTGTGCTAATCTACATTCCCCATCAGCCATGTACACATTTAAGAGTTCCGCTTTCTCCTCTCCTCATCAATTCTTGGTGCTTTTTTTGCTTTTTCATTTTATCCATCCTCAGTCAGCAAATCTGCAACAGCTCCCCCGAGTCGGTACTAGATCTCAGTACCATTTGCCGAACATTCTTTTTTTTTTTTAGGATTAGGGTTAGGGTTAGGGCCAGGGATAGGGTTCCATTTGCCACACCTTCCAATAAGACCATCCCATTTGGTAGCAGTTATGCTATGCCCTCTTGTTACTTTCCTGAAGCCAGTGGTTAATCATCCCAGAACAAACTCCACGTCACTGGAAAGATGGCATAAGATGAATATTCAGTCATGAGCAGACCCCTTGCAACTCTTGCATTTAAAACAATAACAACACGGCTTACTGTGTGTCTGCACTAACTGCACATTTTGACAAAATGTTGAAAGGCTGAATATTTGGTCAAAGGCAAAAAAAGCACCATCATAAAATGAAGTTTAGAGAATATAAGAATACATTTGAAATTATATTAAAAACTTTAAATTTGCATTACAATTTTACTTTTTAAAGGTTTAGTAACCAAATCTTAAAAGTTTGGCACCGAGGCCAGGTGTGGTGGCTCAAGTCTGTAATCCCAGCACTTTGGGAGGCCAAGGCGAGAGGATTGCTTGAGCTCAGGGGTTCGAGACCAGTCTGGACAACTTGGTGAGACTTCTTCTCTACAATCAATCAAAAAATTAGCCGGCTGTGGTAGTGCGCGACTGTAGTTCCAGCTACATGGAAGACTGAGGCAGGAGGATCACCTGAGCCCAGCAGGTCAAGGCTGCAGAGCCTTGAGCATGCCACTGCACTCCAGCCTGGGCGACAGAGTGAGACTCCAACTCAAAAAAAAACAGAACAAAGAAACAGTTTGGCACTATAATTTCAGAGCATAGTTAGCTACTAGCTTATTCATTTGACTACTTCCCATTTACGATGTGAAATGGCTGCTGAAGAAATAAGACACTTTTGACCAGCTCCACTAGTGCTGACATGAGACCAAATTACGCTTTTCTTCCTCGGTAAAAGTAACTGACTGAGGTGGAAGATTTCGCTCTTATTCAACTCAGGCTTGACGATCTGATTGCTAATGTGATGCTATTTCACTGAAACAATTTCACGGAATGAAACTTTGCACACTGCCTGCAAAAAGTTGTATTTGCGAATCTTTTCAGAAGCAGACAAGACTGTTGCTCTTGTTTTCTGTTGGAATAATGCTTGGCCAATCATCATCAATTCTTTTTGCATTCCACCTTTGCAACTGATTCCAGCTATCAATTACTGTATAGTATGCTGTCCCAAAACTTGATGTAGAACAAACAATTTTGCTATATTTACGGATCCTATGTGGCAGGAATTCACACAGGGTGCAGCAGTGACACTTTCTATCTGCTACATGATGTCCAGACCTCAATTGGAAAGATGTACATGGCTGCGGGTGGCTCAAATGAGACCTAGAATCATCTAAAAGTTTCTTCACTCATATGACCAGTACCTGGGCTGAGATCCTTTGAAGGTTAGGCTCAATTAGGAACTGTTAACTGAAGCACTGACATGTGGCTTTTCCGTGTGTATGGTATGGGTTCCTCACAGCATGGCAGTCAGAGATTAGATAGTTAAACTTCTCACTTCTCAGGGATCCAAGAATGAGATTGTCCCAATGAACAAGGTAGAAGCCATGTGACCTTCCATAATATAATCTGAGAAGTCACACAGTTTCCCTTACAGCATTCTGTATTGGCACATTTCCCTTCCACCACTTGGTTAAAGCAGTTATAAGTCTGCTCAGATTTAGAGGAAAGGACATAGATCCCCACTTCTCAATAGGAGTGTCAAAGAATTTATGGCCATGTTTTAAAATTGACAGAGTAGGCAAAACAATAGCCAAGGTTAACCTAAGAGAACCTTGACCTTTTACCTTTATTATACACTCATTAGCATACTAAATAACACACCCACCAACATCCTGACAATTCCAACCCTGCCCATTTATAGTAATAAATGTGGTGGCATCCCAATTCCAGGAATTGCCCAACCATTTCTTAGAAAAATCCACCCCTTTAATAGACTATTCCACCCCTTCGTTATTGTAGCTCACAAAAACCACAAGCCAGAGACCCTTGGTGTGACACTTTGTTGTGTCCATCCACACTTTGCCCTGAAGTGTGTCCTACTCTGTTGTTTTTCCATTTTAATACACTTGTTAATTGCTTTTCTCCTTTCAACACACTCTGAAATTCATTTATGTGGTGAAGTCACGGACCTGGAACAGAACACTGATAACAGATACAGAATTCCAGTAACAAAACCACGACATAATGTATATATTCACCCTTCAACTGATTCATAGAATTTTAACACATAAAGTACATGAGATTTAAAAACTCTAATTATAGAGTATTTATCTTTACTGGAATATTCAGATGTGAATATTCACACTAGCAATTTGAATGGCATACCTTTTTTTTCAGAAAAACGATGGGAACTTGGGCAATTACACACAAATACTGATCACGCCCAAGTTTTGAGATGACAGAGATGATCGTGTCGTAGACATTCAGCTCTTTGATCTTGCAAAGGTCAGTTCCAAAAGTGAAGCCAAAGAACAGATTCTGGTTGAATAACAAGGCCAAAATTGTATTTCATTGCATCTTTCACATGTGAGCTCCCTGATGAGGAAAGTTTGTATTAATATTCCTATTGTAGAGAAAAGGAAAGAGCTCAGAGAGCCCAAATTACTTGTCTAAGATCACACAGCTAGGAAGCAGCATTGCTAGGTGTCAGGGCCTAGCCGGAAGCAGATGGCAACTCAAACTGAGTCACACGGGAGTGCTTAATTGTTAACAAGTGTTGCCCATGGACAGCGACGGGAAGAAACAAGGAAAGGTGAGGCACCACCCTCAGGACTGAAGGTGGGGGGGAGTGAGAAGTTTCTGGAAATTCCTAGAGAAGCCCGGGTGCTGTAGCTGGAGAAGGCTGCCCAACAGGAGCTGTGGCTTTTGTTAGAGGAACCCGAGGGGAGTCAAGCCTCCCTTTCCTCCTGCCCTCTGACTTCTGACTTCCCAGGAGTCTCATTGGCCGAAGTCAGCAAGAGGGCAGAGGATAAGAGAGCTAGCTGGTGCAGCCATACACGTTAGCGCCCCTCACCCACCCAGCTCCCATCTCCCGGGGCCTACATGGGTGGAAAGAGTTGGGCATGGCTTGAGGCCAGGAGCTCCAGGCTGCAATGAGCTATGATCGCGCCGCTGCACTCCACGCTGGGCGACCGAGTAAGAGACTGTGTCTCAAAACAGAGGGTGATGCAATCGGGAGAACATCCAGACCCCTCGCTAGCCGGAACAGCTGCCTTCCCCGCCCCCGCAGGCTCCCCAGGCCCCATTGCAGAACCCGCGGCGCAGGCCGCGCTCTGTCCTAGCAACCCACGCTCCGTCCCTGGCAACCGCCTCCGTCCCTAGCAACCGACGGCCGGTTGCCATGGAGACCTTGGGAGGCGCGCGGCCCGAGGACCCCGAGCGGCGCTCGGGAGCCAGTGCGCAGGCGCGCGCTGCGTCGCCAGCCTCGGCTCCGCG